AGAGTGATGCTGAGATCCCAGTCACCCCTCCTGCCCAAAGTGGCATCAAGTCCAGGTACAGACAAAACTCTGCTCAAATGAATGGAGAGATGCTTCTTACATACCAGGACCAGGACCAGGCCCTTCCTGACATTCTGGAATACGGCAAGCAAGGTGAGTGGGTGGAACTGGGACTCTTGCACAAAGAAATAAGAAGACAAAAGACAGCAAAAAATCAACACTAAAAATACAAAGCTACGGAACAACCAAAGCCAAGCACAATAAGAAAAAAAATGGGTCAGATGGGCACAAAGGGGAAGAAATGGCTATAAGCTGACCAATCACATCAGGAATGAGGAGGGGGCATGGGTCAGGGGTAGCTCAGAGGCAGAGCTCTTGCCCAGCATGCACAAGACCTTGGGATCAAATACCCAGCACGAAAATAAAAGGAAAGACAGCACAGGCATGGTGACAGGTAAGTCCTCTTAACCGTGAGTCCAGAAAGGATTGCAAAGCCTCTCCCTGAGCTGCTGGCAGAGGGTGGGGACAAATGCCAGGCCTGGCAGGGTGGCAGTGGAGAGCACCAAGCTGTATTTAGAGGAAACAGGCCTGGCAGCACGGGGAGCATGAAGCAGGGCTCCCTAGGGAGGCTTGCAGACAATGAGGGGCTGAGGGTGCCCTGGGAACTGGGACACAGGCACCACATCATCAGGGTGGAGAGGGACAGGAACAAGGGACAGGGTCATCAGTTCTGAGGGACTTAGATGGACACGGCTGGATGTTGCGTTCCACAACTAAGCTCTCAAGGTCACTCCAGTGAACTGGACTGCATGAAATAATCACACAGAGACAGAAAAATACCTTTTTCTTTGGGTCCTGTGATAGCTGCTCTCTCTGAAAGAGAGAGAGAGAGAGAGAGAGAGAGGAGCTTGTGCTGAACCTTTTTATAGGGAAGTAGACATTCAAACGAGGCAAAGGATAGGATTACAGAGGAACAGGTGAGTGTAGCCCAATCCTCACGGGGGAGGCCTACACCTGAAGACCTGCTTTGCTATCCAAGCTGGGACAACGCCCAAGTCACCATGAACTGTAGTGCTTGGTCAAAGCCCTGTGCTTGAGAACTGGAAGGCGTGGTCATTCAGAGCAGCTCCCTACAGCTGGATACAGTGGGCACTCAGGGAGAAGGCAAAGGGTCCAATCACTGCACGAGCCTTGGGGGACCATGGGAGCAAGCTGACATTTTTTTTTTTTTAAAGAGAGAGAGAATTTTAATATTTATTTATTTACTTTTTAGTTCTCGGCGGACACAACATCTTTGTTGGTATGTGGTGCTGAGGATCAAACCCAGGCCGCACGCATGCCAGGCGAGCGCGCTACCGCTTGAGCCACATCCCCAGCCCGCAAGCTGACATGTAATGAGGTGACATCATTAAATGAGGAGCACAGCAAATCTGCCTGTCCACTCAGTAGTGAACAGGTTACCCATACCACAACTACACACAAAGCCAAACAACAAAGCCCACTGCCTGTAGGCAGGCTGCACCCACAGTGCTGCAGGCCTCCTCGAACAGGCTGGACCCTGAAAACCCAGCTCCTCCAGGGACAGGGAGGGAGACACCGCACCTGCCCCCCTTTGCAGGCCCAACGTCCACCCCTCATTCCCACCCACCTCTCAGCCCTGGAACCCTGTGATCCTCCTCATCTGAGCCCTCCTGGCATCAGGTAGGTGAGGGGTTTGGCGTGATGACCCCAACCCTGCTGCACCTCCCAGGCCACCGTAGCAGGAGATTCCCAGTAACAGGGGGACAGCCATGCCTTGTTACTGAAAGAACCCTGAAGTCTGGGGTAACCTGGTCCAGTGACAGGTAACAGACAGCAAGGGCTCTTGGTCCAGCATCTCAGGCCAAAGTGACAACAGGGCTGAGTGTGGCTTTCCTGACATCATACACAGGTCCGTGTGAGTATGTGTGCTGCTGGACCAATCCAGCTAAGGTAAGGAGATGGGAGGTGCTTCTGGGATCAAGGCGAGAAAGCCTAGAAGAGGAGAGGGGAGCAGGCCTGTTTTCTGCCTCACAGAGTGCTCTCCTCATCCTGCAGAGCCTCACTTAAGACAAGGAGGACTCACAAGACCACACCAGGCACCCGTGAGCCCGAGTCTCCATTAAAGAGCAGACCACCTAGCAGAGGCAGGGCAGGGGCTACGAAGTGCTACTGGCAAAGTTCCCCACAGTTACCAGGGTGGAAAAACAAGAATTCTAGAAACTGCTTCACGGAGGGTTTGGCATGAGGACTTGGGCAGTGGAGAACCTCTGAGGCAGGTGGTATAATAAGTGACAAGCTGCTCCTGTGGTGGGTGAAGGCAGGCTAGCAGACCCCCCCAAAGGGCCCTGACTCAGTGGAACACCCCCAACATGGCAGGTGTAGCATCCTTAGGGGTGGCAGATGGCTGGGACAAGACACCAATGCAGAGCCTGGCAGGATGCCAAGGGAAACATGGGGGTACCTAGAGAAGCCAAGCTCAGGGCTGGGGTCCTGGCTCAGTGGCAGAGCGCTTGCCTAGCATGTGCGAGGACCTGGGCTCACTCCTCAGCACCACATAAAAAAAGCAAATAAATAAAAGTATTGTGTCCAACTACAACTAAAAAATAAATATTAGAGAGAGAGAGAGAGAGAGAGAGAAAGCCAAGCTCATGGGAAGCTGAGAACACTCAAGAGGCAGTACTAGCAGGTCTCCACCTACACAGCTGGCAAGAGAAAAGGACTCACAACATCCAGAAGGACAGGGGACAGGGAGGGGAAACAGGTTGGCCAGGTGAAGGCATACATAGCTTTTGTGGAATGGAAGAAAAAGGGGGAAATGGGAGGGATTTCCACTGCGGCATGGAAGCATCCCCCCACCTCTTCAATTCACTCCCATGGCATGAAAAAATTCAAATCTAGGATCAAAGATCACATTTCAGCACTGAAAATATTCTAATAGAGCCTGATTACAGTCCCCATATAAGAAAATATATAGAAGATAGAAGTATATAAGAAGGCAGAAAAAACACACTGGAAATAAGAGCACTCAGCTGGGCAGGTCCCATGGCTAGGCATAGCAAGGGAGGGCAGATCTGAGGACTGCCCCTTCCTTTGATCCCCACCTGGTCTGAGCACAGCAACTCAAGTCCAGCAAAGCAGCCCGCAGCTGAGATAGCCCTCTGGAGGCAGAAGGACAGGGCCATCCTTGGAGACAGGTGAGGACTGCCACAGGATGGAGCAGATGCCCAGTTACCTCCAGGCAGAGGAATCTAAGCAGAGAGCCCCGTGGAGTAAGTACTGCATCCAGGTCAGATCCAAAGCTCCAAGAATCAGAGATGCCCAGGGACGCACCAAGGCCTCATAAAAGCAGAATCTTCCAGTAAGACTCCACCAGACACCCTCCTGTACCTTCAAGATACTTGTACAGGTCATTGCAAGGACTTTAACAAAAGGTAGACTTCAAATATTTAAACATAAATGTTCTTAATTTTAAAACGGGAAAAAAAGCCCAGGAAGATATATGTGGACTATTAGCCAATTATCAATACAGAAGAAGGGCACTGAAGGGGAGCCTTCAAACTTCACTAGATAGTACTGATCTGATATCCAAATCTTTTTCAAGAAAGGTCTATTTTTACAACTTAAAAAAGGTACGCCTGTGGGCTGTGGCTGTGGCAAGAGCTGTGGCAAGCTTAGTGGCAAAGCGCTTGCCTTGCACATGTGAGGCACTAGGTTGAATCCTCAGTGCCACATAAAAATAAACAAATAAAATAAAGGCATTCTGTTCATCTACAATACAAAAAAGAAAGAAAGAAAGAAAAGGTATAACTGTGATCCAGGACAGGAAAATCTCAAGTTCAAAGACAGCCTCAGCAGTTTAGTGAGGCCCTAAGCAGTGAGACCCTACCTCAAAATAAAAAATAAAAAAGGGTTGGGGATATAGCTCAGTGGTAAAATGTCCCTGGGTCCAAACCCTGGTACTAAAAAGGGGAAGGAAAAAAAAAACAAAAACTTAAAAAATGGCTGGGTGGGGAATGCGGATATAGTCCCAGTAACTAAGGAGACTGAGGCAGGAGAAACACAAGTTCAAGGCCAGCCTCAGCAACTCAGCAAGACCCTGGAAGCACAGTGGTAAAGTGCCCCAGGGTTCAATCTCTCATAACAAAAATTTAAAAAACTGAAAGAGTGGCCCATAACCTTATAAATCAAGTTCAGCACAGTGAACACGTCCTCTCTGTGCATATCAAAGTTATAATTATAGCTTAAATAAGGTTTATATCTGGCTTTAAAACTTTTTTTCCTAGTAAATAAACCAACCTAACACAACACAACACAAACAAACCATGGCTTTCTGGCTTTCTCTAGGGCAGCCAACTTTATTAGCCAAAGTCATGACTTCAGAATACCACAGCCATTCAAGTATAAATGATCACCTTAGTTTCCAGGAAACTTTAAATAACTCTGGCATTTTAGTTAAAGACAAGAATGGGTGCAACATTACCCCACACCAGTGCAACCCATGGGTCTCTGTAGCTCCTAGGCCATGTAGGGTGGCTGGGTTGGACTTCAGCCACCTTGCCCATGCCACTCAGAATGTTCCCTTGCAACCATGTCCTGCCAATGCCCCATGCAACAGAATCCCCGTCTGGGGCTCTAAGAGAAGGCCTAGCCTATAGCAAGGCTGAGAGGCAGTGTCCCATAGAGAATGGCCCAAAAATCATCTGAGGGGAGAAGACCCAGGCATATGGTTTTCAGAGTTCTCAGGAATGGCCCACACACCCGGGTGCCCTTGAGCGCTGGAGTACCCTGGGCCCCAGTGCCCTGGAGGCCAAATGTGGCCCAGATGCAGTGCAGGAGAGACAGGCTTGGATTCCTTAGGGAACCCTGCAGAAGGGAGCATGATACACCCCTCAGGGGGTCAATGGCCCAGCGAGTGCTTCCCCTTCTTGGCCACCGTCGCCCACACTGGGGAGCCCATGAGGGGTTCCTTGCTCACCCACCTGTGCCTGCTCCTCAGAGGTCTCCTCCTTGCTGCCCTCGCCTTTGCAACAGCTGCTTCTATCTTCCTCCTCCGTGTCCTCACTACTGTCAGTGCCAGAATCTTCCAGACCTGAGAATACACTCTCCTCACTGTCAGAAAGGCCGGAATCGCTGCCATCATTGTGGTTGGGAGCAGGGTTGCACAGAAGGGACGGCTACAAGGAAGCACAAAATTAGTGACTGCTAACCCCACAGGCTCACCAAGGCAAAGACTATGCAGACCCCATGGGGGCAACTGACCTAGCACTCTGCACAACAGCCTCCACCTCCACCAAAACCACCCATCCAACCTGGGCCCCATCCTCTGTCTCTACACACAGCACAGCCACCTACATACTCACCTCAGTATCTCACAAGGGAGGAATTTTTGAAGGACAACACCCCCATTTTAGAGCTCAGTTTCCACTGCATTACCCAAACCAACTTCTCTCTACTGACAGACACACTGTACCCAACCTGGCACTTAAGGCTCCACAGCTGGGAGGGCATTACCTAGGGAAGGAGCTGGGGGCCAAAGAGGATCAGAATCCCTGAGAAGTCACCTCATCCAAAAACACTAGTGAAGTGGCACCCTCTTTTCTCCACAGAAAAGCCCTCTTCACCATGGCTGATTTTAGGACTGTCAGCAAAAGAGTCTCTGCAAAAGAGTCCAATGTAGACAAACTTCCTATTTTCATGTCGCCCTGTTTTACCTGGCCACTGGCCGGGAAGCTATCAGCACTCAGGTGCTGGACACCCCCTTACTAGTTTTTCACAAACGTATCCTGTATGGTAGTTTGTAGAAATGTGTAACAAGGCCTCTGGCCTTGAGCTGGGCTTCACAGAGCTGTCTACATTTTTAAGATAAGTTACCAACTGGGCTCCATGGTAACAGCTGGCAGCGGGAGGAAAGAAGGGGAGAAGAAGCTCCCCCCTTCTCAGGTGTTGTCCTTGAAGAGTTAACTTGCCCAAAACAGTGAAAGAAAAAGCTGCTTTTATGTGAACTTCTGCAGACTGTGGACTTCTGAGTCCCTCCCCTTACATGCTGGGTATAAAACTCTGAAACTCCCTGAACTCGGGGTTCAGGGGATTAATTGATTACAGCAAAAGCTGTGCCCTCTGAACCTGGCTGCAGCCAAATAAAACTGTTTCCTGCTGTCTTGGGTGCCTGGCCTCGTCTGTCCCTACAACACTAGGACCAACAGTTGATGGATAAATTGTAAAGTTAGTTGAAGAGTAATGGAAATGAGGCAAACTTAATTATAAGCAAGCTAAACCTGTTTCCTATTGGAGCAGAACCATGGCTATTCACAGCAAAGCCCTGCTGACTGGAGACCATTTCGTGCCCAACTAACATGACACACAACACAATGTGCACTGGCTTCTGAAAAAGTAGAACAAGAATTTGAAGACTCTCAGGAAGCATATGAGGGCAGAATTCTTGATTTCACTATTTTTCTAATAGATTACAAGCCTCATCTTATCGCATTACTAACTATGCTACAGCACACAACTGAGTTTTTTCATAGAAGAGACCTCACACACGCAATCATGAGGTATCATCAATATTCAGTTGCTACACGATTACAACAGCAAATGAAAACGGGCAAAGGGTTAGGACTCACTGCCTCTTCAGGACCTGGAATCCAGACTGCTAGCTCAGCTGATCATGGGGAGCAGCTTCAGAACATTTCTCAGAATAAAGGGACAGTTTAAAGGATCCAGCAAAGCAAAGTGGGCAGAGAGGCTCGGCTGTGCTCGCTTTCTACCAAACTTGATGCACTCCACAACCCTAACCGTTACAATGGGGCACTGGATTCACTGCTGACTTCCATATTCTCACGTCCACTTGTAACTTCGCAATATATCTCACACAGTGGACAGTACCACAACTAGGTAATGTACAAAAGGCGAGTGATACTGAAGGTGCAAGCTCAAGCCCTCCCAAAGATGGGACTCAGTTCAAGGGTTCGGAGGCTGCTCCCCTGCCAGTCTCCAGCCTGACACGGCTCCTCGATCCACAGAGCTGCCCCGGGCTCCCGCGCCCCTTGGCTCAGGCTGAGATCCACTGAGACTCACACTGAGGCCCCGGCGGAACAAGCTCTGCGAGCCTCCAGGCGATCCGCAGGACAACTGGTGCCGCGCCCGGGGTGACAGGCGGCCCGGACTCCCCAGCGACTTCGGCCTCCCCACCCGCGCCGTCTGCCACGTGCATCCCGGGCCCTCGCAATTTGCGCCCGGCCACCCGGCAGTCACCTTTTCGGGCTCCGGCTCCAGTTCGCGCTCTGGCTCGGGCTCCGGACGACGCTTTCCGGGCTGCACTCTCAGCTGCTCGCGCCTGGAACCCCTCTCCCCAGCCATGCCGAGCGGCTCCGGGCTCCCGACGGACCGCCGCTTCCGGCAGCGAGCGCGCCTCGTGAGCCGCGGCCAGCCCCGCCCCTCCGCCTCTGATTGGTGAGCGTCGGGGGCGGGGCCACCCCGCGCAGGCGCGCAGCGAGGCATATAGCCTGGGGGCGGGCCGGCGCCGGCGCGAGTTGTAGCGCCTGCGCACGCGAGTGCGCGCGGGCGGGGCGCCTGCGGGAGCGCGCCCGTCACAAGATGGCGGCTGCCATGCGAGCTTCCAGGGCCGTGTGTGCGCAGCGGGCGGCGGCGCGGCCCGGGGGGCAGGCGCGGCGACGGCGCTAACCCAGGCTAGGCCCCTCTTCTTGGCCGCCACTTTCGCCTCCGCCGCCGAGCCTAAGATGGATCTTCCTGTGGGCCCCGGCGCGGCGGGGCCCAGCAACGTTCCGGCCTTCCTGACCAAGCTCTGGACCCTCGTGAGCGACCCGGACACCGACGCGCTCATCTGCTGGAGCCCGGTAGGGGCGGGTGCGGGAGCAGGGCGCTGCGGGAAGGGGGCCTGGCCGCCGCCGTCCTCTCGAAGCCCGGGGCCGCGCGGTCCCAGAGCCCTTAGTTTGCCTGGGACGCGGTGGACGCGGCTTCCGGTTCTCCCGCTCGTGGCTCGCGGAGGGACCGCGCCCCGACGGCCGGGTGCACAGCCCGCGCGTCGGGGAAAGATCGCGGCGTGGCGCGAATCGGAGGGCGTGCGCTGGTGGGAAGGAGGAGGGCGGGCGGGCAGCGGGCAGGACGCACGGTCCGGGCTGGCCCCACCGCCAGGGCAGCGGGCCGGCGTTGGGCCCTCTGGAGTTGTCGGAGCGGGCTGCGAAGACCGCAGACCTCGAGCTTGCAGAGGTCACTCCCGCCTCCTGTTCACATCCTGCCTGTGACATCGCGCCGCGAGAGGGTCAGGGCCCGGGACTGGCACATGGTGGCCTGAGGCCACAGTGATCCAGAGGGAGCTTTTAGAGGAACTGTGACAGGCTTGGTGCCAGCAAACCTGCTTGACTTCCTGCAAGCCAAATCTCAGGGCTTCTCAGCCTGTGCCGAGAGCACACCCATCGCACACCCGTCCCTTCAGCCCGTCAGGAAAGAAGAAAAGCCTGGACATGAATCTAGCTCGATCTGGAGGTCCGGTTCTCTGCCTCCGGGTCGTGCGTTTACTGACGGTGTGCCCTCTGTAAAGAGCATTCTGGAATATGCCTGGCATGTCGGTGCATGTCTGTAATCCCAGCAACCCCGAGGGCTGAGGTCCGAGGATTGAAACTTCAGGACCGGCCTCAGGAATTTAGCAAGGCCCTAACCAAATTAGCAAGAGAAGACGCTCTCAAAAGAATAAATAATTTTTTTTTTTTTTTTTTTTAAAAAGGGCTTGGAGAGTAGTTCAGTGGCAGAGTATCCCTGGGTTCAATCCCAAGTGCCAAAAGGAAAAAAAAAATGTGTGTGGGAATAAAGAGAAGATTAGAAACCATGCACCTTCACTCTTGGTAGAAACACTTTGTCCCCATGGCACCTCCTCTGTGTGGGCCTTCCCTGCTCCCCAGATCCAGAGAGGAGCAGTGTTTTTCAGCTACCTCTTCTAGATTTTGAACTCTCCTAACCCCCAGGAAATGACACCACATTTCTGACTTTCTTTAACTTCTTTCCATTTCTGCCTTGTTACCCTTAACTCATAGGAAGTGATCTTACCCAGGTGGGGGAGGGCATCGGAGATCCTCTGGAATATTCTGAGCCTTGTTTTGCTAGGAAAGTCCATCCTGCCTGGTGTTTTTGCTTTTTGATTGAGAGATCTGTGGGTGAAGTTCCAGTATACATTCTTCCAGGACCTATAGGGTGTTCTGGGGAGGGCCTTTGAGTTGGAAGTCAGATCTGATTCAACCTGTAAACAGCCTCCCATCCACAGCAGCACACTACCTGTTGACATATTTTCCCTGGGGAGGGACAGGGAGTTGACTGGAACTCAAGCTTTGGATCTTCCTGTGTGAAGCAGCTGTAATTGGTGCAGGACATCAGCACATAGCAGTGGGCGCTAGCATGAAACAAGTACAGAAACAAGCTCTGACTCAGGAATGGAAGGAAGCCCCTGTCAGCATGATCAGGGAGGGGCTGAAGAGCTTCTTAGAGCTGACTGCCTGGCCCAGAGAAAGAAGATGATGCCTCTGTCCCCGTGACCTTGAGGGCACCCGTACAGGCCCTGTGGCCTCTGTCAGCAGAGCGCAGCATGGACGCTCCTATAGGCTCACTGCCCTTGACTCAGCCTTCAGATGCCTCAGAAGGCTTTGGGGCCCCCACTCAGTTATTTTCTCCTTGGTACTGGAAGTCTCCTCCTTATTCTGCCAAAAAGTACTCTCCCTTTGGAGGGATAATGTTGGCTAATTCCCAAGGCTGAATATGTGGGGAAGACCTTCCAGTCTCAGAACCCTGGCTAGACTACTAGGGGACAGAATAGGTCACTACCTGGAAACTGTGATGGAGGTTATGGCACTGTTTATCCTTGTGTTCATTCCCACCCGCGGCCCTCATTTAGTTCCAAATCCCTTACCCAAACAGGAAGGGCTACAAGAGATCTGAGTTTTCCCCAGACAGGTCCTGAAGGACAGTGTAGCTCCATATGCCCTGTGGAGGAAATTTGGTGACCACAGGTTAGAATCCAAGTAGGAGCCACAAGAGCATGTAAGTGTAGGCATGGGTAATCTTCCCTTAGCCATCTTCTCAACAGTTGTCCCAAAGCTGCCCCTGGATCCAGTACCCAGAGATACGAAGATTGGGACTAAATACCTGGATAAATAGGTAGCTCCGTAAATAAAGCATGAGGCCTTTCCACCCTCCTACCATCTCTCAGCCTTTGCATCCTCCTCTTCGTGTAGTGGTTCCCCTGTCCTCCCCAGTAGGCTCTTGATAGGGCCTTACAGGACTCAGGACAACTCTGGAGTTACAGTCCTCAAAGCAGAGAGAAATGTCCAAACCAAAGTGAAAAACGAAGGCTCATAGCCCGGGTTCAGTATAATGCCAATTTTGTATAAGATCATGTAGTCTTTTTTAAAAAAGATTAGAAGGAAATATGAGAAGTAATCTTGATTATCTCTGGCTAGTAAGATTACAGTTAATTTTTATTTTAAGTTTTTCTTCTAGTTCTTAAAAAGTAAACGTGTTTTGTAATTGAAAGGAGATGAACTCTCAACCACAAGTTGTGTCCAGAACCCCCAGGGCTACCCCTGCTCTCTGAGCTTTCTCAGCCAGGTGAGCTCATTGTTAGAGAGCAAACAAGAGTTGACAGGCCCCACCCTTGAAGACCTGGCAGTGGGCCCCAAGTGCTAGAAGCCACACACCTCAAGCTGGTTGTGTTGTGTGCTGCGGTGTCATTAACCACTGAATGGTGCACAGCATGTTTGCTGTCTCTGTGTTACAGACAAGGTTGTGCTTCTTGCCTATTCACTCTCTGCCCACAGTCATTCAAGTGGGTGACCTAAGTTCCATTTTATAAATAGAAAACTCAGGCTCAAAGACATCAAAAATCTTAACAAATTAAGAGCTAGAAAATGGTAAAAGTAAGTCCAGAATCACCCAGATGTTGCAAACTGCCTGGCTTTGCCAGCTGTGCACATCTCAAGGATCCATCTTTCACCATCCACAGAGAAAAATTAGACTAGACCAGCAAGCTCTATGCTGTGGCCTCTTGTGTGTTTCCTCCTGCCTTGAGGTGTTGGGGGAGTTGCAGGCCTGGGTTGTGGTAGACTTGGAGGAAAGTAGATGCCCACAGCAACCTGGGCCCATCTGACACCATAGAACCAGTGTTGGCCCATAACTCTTTATCAAGGGACCAGGGAGAGCAACCTGCACCTGGGGGCTGCTTGTTTTCAGAGGAGTTGGCCTGTGTGCAGGGGAAACTAGAGCCTAGCAAAGCCAAGGTCTGGCAGGAGGAAGAGGCTGGCCTTTGTAAAAAGTGAGGAGCTCAGCCCCCAATGGTTTCCTTGTGCCTAGCAGCACTAGTAGCTGTGGTCAGTAACCCCCTTCCAACTGTGTTGGCCCCACAGTGAACAGAGTTGAGCAGCCTGCATGTGTTCAGTGCACCGGGGATGTGGAGGTGTGTGCTGGTCACGGCTCCTGACTTGCAGGCGTGAGCTCCAAAGCTAACCTGAGCAGAAGCAAGAAAGCATCCCTGGGAAAAGTACCAATGGACCCTCAGAGAGTGGCAGACCAGGACTGGGGGAGGTGGCCCAGAAGGTGTGCTGCTCTTCTGTACCTGCTTGGACCCTCCATCAAGCTCACCCTCCAGACTGATTTCTTCACTCCATCTTCTCATGACCACAAAGCCAGGCCAGCTATGGCTTCCAATGCAACCAAGTGCCCACAGACTTCTTGCTGCTCTAGTCCCAGTCCTAGGACACAGAAAGTGGTCAGGCAGCTAAGGCCAGGAAACCTGAGTACCTTACAAGCTCCATCTGTGCTTGGGTATGCAGGGGGGCTAAGACAGGGAGGGATTGTGGCTGGGCAGTAACTTGAAAAGATCAGATAAGCCACCTCATAAAATATATGGCTGTTAGCCTTTTGGTACCACAGAGCCAACCCCTTTGAGAAGATAAGCAGAGTCACCAATCTGCTCTATACAAAATGTATACCTGGAGAATTTTGTATACATTTCAAATTGTCAACAGTGGTATAGAAAATAAAGCCACGGGCCTGGTGTGATGGCACACTCCTGGGATCCAAACAGCTCAGGAGGCTGAGGCAAGAGGATTGCAAGTTCAAAGCCAGCCTCAGCAACTTAGCGAGGACCTAAGCAACTCAGCAAGACCCTGTCTCTAAGTAAAATAGAAGGAGGGATATCAGGGGTCTGGGTTCAATCCCTGGTACCAGAAAAAGAAAACAAAGTCACAGCCAGGCACAGTGGCTGACAGAACTTTGGAAGCAGAGACAGGAGGCTGTCTTGCTGCCCCCAACCTGTGCGGGCAGCTGAACTTAAGGTCGCTTGTGTGAATTTCCAGGGACACCAAATGAAACACAGACACACACTTTACCTTTAAACAAGCTTCGGGACAGCTTCTTCACTCTTGGCCTCAGGCTTCTCAAATGGGAGAGCAAGAGAAAGTCATGAGCACGGTTGGAAGTGGGCTTTTATTGGTGGGGGACCCTTATTCTTAGAAAGTTCCATCCAAAAAAGTCAGAAGGGGCAGGGTTATAAAGGTCAGGTGAGTATAATTCGACCCAAGGGGCTATGGGATGACACACCTATCTCTGAAGATGTGCCCTCAAACTTCCTGGACCAGGGCAATGTCCATGTCACTACAAAGCCTCTCCACTCCAGGATGGAAGGCGTGAATCATTCAGAGTGGCTCCCACAATCTCTAGTTTGAGGCCAGCCTGCGCAACTTAGCGTGACCCTTTCTTAAAATTTAAAAAGCCTGGGTGTGTAGCTCCGTGGTAGAGCATACCTGGGTACGGTTCACAGTAAGACTCAGTATTTACTGACTACCGTGTTTCA